ATTTGCTATTTCTACATCTTCATCTGAGAAGTGTCTATTTCAGGTGTCCACTTTTTGATTGGGTCTTTGAGTTTGGCAGGGGGATTTGATTTTTTGTTGTTGAGGTTTTTATATATTGTAGATAGTAGTCCATTTGAGAAATGGCCAGTAAAAAAATTTTTCCCACACTGGATTTTCTTTTCATACTATTGGTAGCTTCTCTTGTTGCAAAAGTTTTTTTTAATGAGATCCCTATTGTTCTGTGTGATACTTCCTATGCAACTGGGGTTTTGTTCATAAAGTCTGCCTACACCAATGTCTTAAAGAGTTTTAACTATTCTCTAATCCAACAGAGTTAGTGTTTTTTTTTTTAATATTATGTCTTTTATCCAATTCAATTTTAGTTTAGTGTGTGGTGAAAGATACAGATGAAGTTTAATCTTCAGTATGTGTAAAGCCAGTTTTTTTCAGCACCATTTATTAAAAAGGCTGTCTTTCTTGCAGTGAAAGTGTTTGGCACCTTTGTCAAAGATAAATTGGCTGAATCTGGAGTTGTTTCTGCATCTTTTAATTTGTTTCATTGATCCCTGGGTCTGTTTTTTCCCAGCACCATACTGATTTTATTACAGTAGTTTTGGAGTATAATTTCAAGTCAGGTATTGTGATGCCCCTGCCTTGCCTTTGTTACCCAGAATTGCCTTTGCTATTCTAGGTCTCTTCTAGTTCCAAATGAATTTTAGAATTGTTTTCTCTAATTCTGTGAGATATACTGTTAGAATTTTGATCATGATTACACTAAATCTGTATAGCAATTTTGGAAGTGTGGCCATTTTCACTATTCTGGTTCTTTCTACCCAAGAGCAGGGAATATGTTTGCATTTTCCTGATATCTTCTTCGATCTCCTTTTTCAGGGTACTGTAGTTTTCAGTTTAGAGTTTTTTACCTCCTTTATTAGATTGTTTCCTAAGTATTTTATTTTTTTGGATGCCATTGTAAAAAGTGTAGTTTCCCTAATTTCTCTTAGTGAGATTGTTGTCTGTGTAGAACAGGTCTATTAATTTTTTTATCATTTTATTTATTTATTTGGTATAGGGTCTCACTACACAGTATGGACTCATAGTAAACCTGTCTCAGCCTCCTCAGTGCTGGGATTATAGGCAGCACCACCACACCCTGTTCCAGTGTCCCGTATGGCTCACCTGGGGTTCTGGAGCCAGCACAGCATGCAGTACAGGGTATCAAAACCAGGTCCTTGCATTGCCAGGCAGGCACTTAGACCACTGAGCTATCTCCCCAGCCCTCTGTCAAGTTTTGAGTGTTGAT